TATATATATATATATATATATATTTATTTATTTATTTTTCTTTTTTTTTAAACTTAAAATAGTCATACATTAAATTACCTAAACAAAACTTACTTCAACAGGGGAACTATAAATTATAAATTTAAATAATAATATGTACCTTGTTCATAAGATCAAAACCAGATAAAAACAAATTATTCCTTGATCCTTATCCACCAAAACTTAAACAAAATTACACTGGTAGTCAAACTACCACAAGTCAAACAATTAAGACAGTAATATTAAAACCAGCTGCCCAGCAAACATCAAGCAGGCGGACCGATAACGGACTGCTGTCAGCACTTATGCCGTGCCGACGTCGGCCGCCCGTTGCGTTGCCGTGTTGACTTGCACATCGTATTTACATCGGATCGTTAGCGGAAAACTGAAGGGGGTTCGACAGTGGACCAATGGCGGCAAATCGACAACGTTTGAACAGTGATCCGTCAGCAGCTAACCAATGATAAAGCCATAGCTGAATAGCATAGGATCTATAATAAGTTTTGACTTTTTGAATGCATCGATATACATATAATTATTTTTATTTTTTTGTTTGAATAGAACGCACTTATCTTTAGCAAAAATCTTTATATCTTTCAGCTCTAATTTTTACTCATAAAAAAATGCAAATCCTGCCAATGCCTGGAAGACACATCAAATACCTTTTGACTTTGTGTATAGGTATATAGACAAAATACGAATTTATTATACTAAAATTCTCCTACCACCAAAAAACACTACCCCAACTGTAAATTATTAGGTCATACGTGGCAAGGCCTAAGCTCGGTGAACAAAAAGACTAATCAAAAGTTATAATAAAAATTATTTTAAGATTGCAATTTACAATTACAACATAAATATAAAAGTAACAATAATTTTTTTTTATACTAAAACAAAGTATAAAGTGTATTTGCATCTAAAGATTATTGTTTCACTTGCGTTTAGCGAACGTTTAAAATATAAAAGAGTTAATTTTCAACATATCTATAAATTCAGTTTATTCTCATTTCAATCGAAAACTAAATATATTCAGGAAACCATGTGTTGAAAATTGATTTACGTTGCAGTCTGCAGACTTCTAACTTTCACTTAAAAGCAGGCAATGATATATAATGAAAATATTGAAACAGTCAAGTTTAGAGCTATTACAACAAAGATAATAAACTAACCTTCTCAGCTCTTAAAAACGTGTTCGTTTGAAATAGTCTGATCACCAGCTATTGACAAATAACTTTAGATACTAAGCGCATCTACATTGAATAAATATAAATTTAATTTTAATATTTAAGCATAACTTAAAACATAACAACAACAAAAACATTGCTTAAATTGAAAAGCTATGGAAATAACTTTAAAAAAAAGCTATATAAAAATAAAGTCATATTGCATGCCTTTTAAAAAAAATAAAACTTCATATACAGTAACCTACCTGGTATGCCTAATCCTATAAATATGCTTGAGGGGTTTATGAACAATAAAAAAAAATTGTTATTTCATTAAAAAAGTTATCTTTAATTTTAATTTTAATTTAACAAATAAAATAGTATTTAAAAATTAGATACTTATATGCCAGGTTGGAAGTAAAACCATAAAACCCACAGCAACTTAAAGGCAATTGGTGAACCTTTTGCAAAGCATAAGCCTAAGACACAAGTGCACATTTGAAAAAGAAAGAATCACGTCAATAGAAATATATTTTGATAAACTAAAATATAGTTTGCAAATGGAACATAGTTTTCACCATACAAAAAAAAAAAAACATAGCGCAATATAATATACTATAAAAATTCCTTGAAAAATATAAAAAATCAAATATTTGATTGAAACCAAATGGTTTAGTAAATAAGTATATAATTTTTTTTAATAATATTATTGTAAGCATATAAAGAGCAAATAAATGTTTAAAGAAAATATGATTTAAATACAGTTTGCAAATCAAACATCTATCTTATACTCATGGCAATATTTGGATCATCGTCAACATAATTCTATGAAATATAACTCTGGTTGAGGTAAACTATTTCCTGTAAAGAAATAATATTAAATCATAAATGTAACATTAAATTACAAGCATGTTTGAACAGAACTGTTAAAGAAATCCTTTAAAATAATATCTTGTAAAATGAAAATTTTTTAAAATTTTTGTTCATCTGCATCACTGGTTAAATACCAAGTTAATTTAGCTTTCCATCAATAACTTTATATTTTAAAGCTTATAGTTATATTTAAATTTAATAAAATCAAACAAATCAAACAGTAGACAGACTCCAGAACTTATATTTTGGATTTTTTTCAAAAATAACATTAAAACAAATAATATAAAAATAATAAAATTAATCTTACTTTAATCTCTGGTAAGATTCAATATCACAATTTAAATTCTCATCTACAATCGCATATACAAGAGGTTACTGTAAAAGGGAATGAATATGAAAAATATGGAAACAGTAATACTCATTGCACAAAAACTTTACTCTATAAAGTTTAAAAATTAAAATATTTAAAAAAATATATTAAATATTGTAAAATAAAGATAACAATATTGTAAATAAAGATGCTTATTTTATTTAACAATGTTATTCATCTTCTGAACTAAAAAATGCCTCTTTATTTAATAGCATTGGAAAACTTGATGGAAAACTTTTTCTTAGCTTGTTTGTTTTTTTGATCTTGTCTAACTTTTTGTCCGCCATTGCGGTCTGATGCACCACGCAAAAAACACACAACCTCATATTGAAAATCTGATTCAGTTGCTAAAGTTGTTGCAGGATTTTTTTTTACAGCTTCTAAAAATAAATTTAAGACTTTTATTTAACTATCTAGCAGGAAAACAAAAAAACAATTTTTTAATTTAATTTCAAAAATATATAGAATTTTTTTAACAAATTTTATTTATTGATTAACTTTTTATTTATATATAGTAAATAAATAAATTTTATTTATTTATCAACTATTTATTAACAAATGTATTAGTAATTACTAAATTAGACTCAAGTAATTATTAAATTAGAGTAACAAGCCCCTCCAAAAAATATTACTTTTAAGCAAGTGTAAGTCTATTAGAATTTGATAGTAACTTTTTACAAAAGTTACTTTCATTGTCATTTATGGTAATACCAGACCAGTTAGGTTTACAGCAGAGGTTATTAGTAAATAACGCAAAGGACATTCTCTGGACAGCCTCCTTTAAAGTCTGGCCTCCTTTACTTGCCACAGCTATTATCTACAAAAAACATAGAAAAAGCATCAGTAATATATATACTGAAGAATATTTTTTAAATAATTAAAAAAAAATAGATATCAAATTAATGCCATTAATTATTGCATAACATTTAATAATGGGCTTTATGTCCTTTATTTCCGTTTATAAATGATCTAGCTGGTGTACCACAAATAAAAGCTGATATAGCAAACTTATATACTTTACCATTAATCCTAATACCTGAATCAAATAAAGCAATACTTTTATTTACAAACATTTTCAGAAATTTATTACGGTCTTTTGGTTTAGACCTACTATATAAAATAACGATTATAAATGGAGTTTTATTGTGTTAAATATTGTTTATCCACATTTTTTATTAAACCTAATATTGGCCAAAATTGTCCAATGCTACTTTTAAACAATGGTTATACATCAATGTTGACTTGAATTGATATACAACCCTTTTTCTTTAAAAAACTTAAAATATTACTTAAAATACCTTGTCTAATGCTAATATGACGATACTGTCCTCCAGTTATATTGGTAACAGGTACAAAAGACTTTGACGTAGAGTGCGTGGATCCTTTAGCAGTTCAGGAAACAATTAACCCAAAAATTTTAACAAACATGCTAATGCTTCATCGGTTATAGTAAACATAACTGCTCACTGCATCAAATCATTTTTTAGTTTTTTCGTTGTTAACATCATCAATTGTTTCAGAATCTGATGACTCTAATGGGTAAGATTCAGAATCAGAAATTGTTAGATTATGGTCAGAGTTCACTTCACAATCAATATTATTTGCACCTGAGGGAATAGCACTCTCAGTTGAAAGTTTTCGATCTGATATACTCTTTAAATACAATGATTGTACTTCTTCTGGTGAATGTGAATTATTGCTTGATTTAATGGTAAGATCTTCTAGGCAATATTCAACATCATTCATCTTTCGTTGTTTTGTCCAAAAGCTCACTATTGAAACTTAAACATAAATTGTTTTATTTACTAAAGCTGGTACATATTTAAAAATGTATATATTATATATGTGTGTGCGTGTATATATATATATATATATATATATATATATATATATATATATATATATATATATATATATATATATATATATATATATATATATATATATATATATATATATATATATATATATATATATATATATACATATTTATATTTTTTGAATGTTATTATTTTTTATGTGCAGAGTTAAAGTACTAAGTTATCAAGGTGTTTAAAATCAGAACAAGTCGACTTAAATATACATAATCACATTATTTAATCTTAAACTTAAACTTAACAATAGAATATTTGAACGAGTTTACACTGAAAATTGGTAACAAAGGTTTTGCTCAACAGTTAGTGAGTTTGATTTCAATATGTTTAACGTGATTTAGAGAACAAAACCTGGACAATATATTTTAATGCCCAGCTTTTGAAACAGCAAAAAATTTACAATTACTTTATTAAAATGAATCTAAATCATTTGCTGTTACAAATTATGTCATCCTATTTATTCAGCCTATAAATATTTTTTAACATTTTAGATTGGTTGCAGCCTAACAAAATTGTGAAAAAACAATATTGAATAATTCTAATGTTTTAAAATTTTATTTCCGTTACAAAATTTAGTGAATAAAAATGTTTTATATTTATGAGTTTGCCATGATTGCTCTGATTGAATCATGGTAAAATACTTATTCAGTTCTAACTGTTTATTAAATAAGCTAGGGTCTTTAAGGCTTGACCTTGGTGAATGCAGTAAAAAATATTTAAAAAAGATCTTATGTGTAAAACACTTCAATGTGCCTTTTTTATATTTTTTTCTTTTTTAGGCCAACTCTCACGTGTTGGCGGAAAGTTACCAAAATATGTTAAGGACTTAATTCAGAGGTAACTTTTGTATTTCTTCATTTATATTTTTATTTGTTTTATGTATATTCAGAACATTGAAGGCATTATGAGTAAATGCAAAGATTTTGTTAATTATTATTTTAATATTACTTTAAATGAGTATACATATTGCATGTGAATATTTATATAACACATTAGCAAACTAATACAAATGGCTATAAAAATGATATCAATAGAACATTTTGAAGTATTTTTATTATAAAAGTTCATTTCTTAAAAGTTAAAAAATGCTAATTTGAATTATAAAAATTGTCAAAATATGGTAATTATTGAAGTTTAATCAGTGATTTTTTCTTTAAGCCTATTCCAATAGTTTTTATATTTTTGAAAGTGATTCTATATTATATTTTACTAAACTCTCTATAAAAAGTGCTCATTAGTAAACCCTTTGATATTTGTCCTGATTTTTAATTTTTGATCTTGTTCAATGGCCAGTTAAACATTTAGTTGCACATTTTTCTTTTTATAATTTGCTTGTCTAAATGCAGCAATCATGTGAATACTGAAAAATTATTGTAATTATATTTGTCTTGGTTTTCACATCTAGCCATTGATATTGAAAGTATGCTCCATAATGATCACATGTGTATTAACCAATGATATTTTATATAAACTAGTTGTCTTACTTCAATTCAAAAAGTGAAGCCGCTTTTGTCCTTTTTACAAATGACGGATGAAATTTGTAAACAAATACTGTTTAATTATTTTTTTATATATGAAGTAAATATATTTTTATATATGTAATATATTTTAAATCTATATTTTTAATCTATATATGTAAAAGTGTTAAGAGGAAATTAGAGTTTATGTAAAGTAATAATTTATGATTTCTAAATTTTTTTTCGATTAAAAAGGGATTGAAATTTAAAATAGAAATAAACCTTAAATAAACCTAGTACTTTATATTTATTATAACATGTTTTTAAATTATCATTAATTTATTGGTTAATTTTGACTCGCATTTTGAACTTTTATTCCACACATTTGTGTTAGCTTTAACATTTTTTACAAATGGCAAACTATATTTTTAAGCAAAAAAAGCGACATAACTTTTTTTCAATAAAGGACCGCAAGTTGACATTTTTTATAGTTTTCTGAATAATTGCTTCTTGATATATCTGCCTTTTTATTTAAAAATTTATTGGCTTTTGGTAAGAAGTTGCCACTTGCTCAAATGGCAAGGGTTTAAGTGAAATATAAGTAGTTCGGATTAGAAGAAAAAACACCTAACAAAGCAATCATTAGTCTTAAAAAGAGCTTTTTATAAAAACAATTTTTGATTCTTTGCTTAGTGAAAATGTACCATTTCAGTTTCTTTATTTACCATGAAATTCATGTTATAAAAAAATATATTGCCAAAATAACACTTGTAAAAAAATAACTTTCCAGAAATCTGAACTCAAAGATATTTTATATCTTTTGAGGTTAAAACTAGACATATTTTTTTTCCATTATTTCATGATTGTGTGTTTTAAATCAATTTTGTCTATTTATTCAATTAAAATTATTTTGGAGGTAATTTCATTAGTTTTGCATTTTACTGAGGTATTGTTTATTATATTTCAGATAATGTTGCTAAACGATTTACAGTCGATATTCTTTCAAAAGCAGAAAAACTCAGGTTAGCATCAATTAGAAAGTTAGCGCAATTTCTAGTATTTGTGGTATTTCTATTTGTTTATTCCAAATGTTTTTTTATTTAGTTCTTTTAATTGGAAAAAATGCTTTTAATTGGATTTGTTTGTAACTTTATGTTTCTTCATATATATTTGTCTTTTAGTGTCAAACAAAGAATACGCGAATTATTTGAGACTAGCTGGATTGATCCGTAAAAATACGGGTCTTTGTAATTCTATTCCACACAAACCTTTTCCCTTATTTTCTTAATCTAGCTGTCCGTATCGGTAAATACAGGTCTTTTCTTCTACTTCTATATTTATTTATTCCACGCCAATCATTTCTTTACTTGTTCCTTATTTACTTCAATATTTTTTAGTAAACGGTGGAAAAAAATTCATCAAAAAAATTTGCTTTGAGAGCAAAAAAAAACTTTAACATACGCACTTTTTCCGCATACGTATATTGCTTATTAAACCCCGTTTATTTATTTTTTTTTAAAAAATTCTGAACTAAACTACTTCCTATATTTAGACCAGCCATGGACCATGGTTTATGGTCGCGTCCTAGCCATTTTCAATAGTTACTATTTACTATATTTATTATTATTATTATATGCTTAGTTTTGAATAATAACGGTCTTTTATAGTTACCTTTTTATTAGACGGAAACGGTAATGCAATTCTTTAAAACGTTAGTCGCTTAAAGCGTCAAAAGTCATGCAAAAAAATAAGTTATAAATTTTGTGGTTTAAAAGAAAAACTAAAAATAATATAACAAAAAGTTTGGTAATTTTTAAACGTTATTATTTAGCTCTTACTTATGGTATTTATTTTGTTTTCATTTTACATTTTTAAAAAAATGTTGAAGCGCCTAACTACATGCATAACTTTGATAGCTCACAAGTTAAGTGCGCAGTCATCAGAGTCGCTGTGCAAGGCTTCAAATCCGCGCCAAAAAAATCTCAATACATTTTTTTTAATTTTTTTAATCTGGCTATATTTATAGCAAAAAATTAAATATAACAAAAAACCTTTTAAATGCTTTTTTTTCCCCTGCCTCCACTGCAATACCATGTGGAGTAGCAGGACGGTTTTATCAAATTTTTTTCTTTATTAGGTTTTAGGACCTTTTTTTTTAAGACTATCCGTAGATTATTAGGACCAATTATGTGAGAACAGTATCAAAATCGTGACACACACGCAACAAATTTTCGCCCCGTTTAATGGTGTTTTTAGAAATCCAAAAAATTTATAAAATTTAAAAAGAAAAAACGGTTAAAGTGTATAACATTTAACTTGTTTAACTTCACAAATATTTTGTAATTTAAAGAAAAAACTCGCTGGTGGTAAAGTTGAACCACGACTATTACGTTTAGAAGCTTAGCGCGCTAACCACTCGGCCATGCTGACACATCAAATATCGAAATTTTAAAAATATATAAAAATTGTTTTTAACGGAATTGCTGTAGATCAAAAATTAAGGAGAGGTTGACGCAATGCAATTTTTAAGTCAAAGTCAAACTATAAAACTTGAAAAATGTTTCAGTATGTTTTATCATTACTTAATTACGTACGTTAGATATTTGCATACACGTTTTCTTCTAAAAAAAGTGCTGCGACTCTTTCTACAAACACTACTATTAAGTTCGGCATTATTATATAGAAGATAGATAGATTATAAAATAGTTTTTTACTTAAAAGGACAAACTCTATTCCATATTAACCTTATCTCTGTTTCTTCCTCTTATATTTTTTAGTGAACAATAGATAAGGTGCTAGAAAAAAAAATTCACATATGCACCTTTTCCGTATATTTATATTTAGAGCTTAACATGAAGAAGGTAAATCATTTAGTTCAAGACAACCTGCCCAAACCCAAATCCTCTGTTGATTTATGCACAATCACTGTGGCTAGGCCTGTAAAATAAGTAGCTAGGCAAGTCAAATAAATTACCTTGATCTGTTTTTCTGCATAAAACAAAAACAGAAAATGTGAAGTACTTGATAAAAGGAACTGTAATATTGGATTTAGTTAATTCAATACAAAGTGATAGGAAACTGCAAAATAAGGTAACAACGTGAAAATTATTCAAATACTAATTTACAACAATTTGTATTGCGTTTTATTAAAATAGCTTTATTAAATGGTATGAAGATTGATGATTATTCTTCTTCGCCTTTAGAAAATGATTAACGATTTGAAAGACTTTTAAATTGATTATAAAAGCATTATCTAAAAATGAAATAAAATCATTATTGATAACACTGAATGCACATTTATTTGTTTTATGTTAACTCATTTGAAAAATGAAAAATACGAAACGAAATTTAGTAGTATTAAATAAATATTAGACACTTACTTTGTGACAGTGCTTTTGTAAAAGTCTCTAATATTTGGTTGGAAGGCTGGAAATACTCTTTTTTAAAAAAAATTCAGTTTTATCAGCATTGCTAAAGATAAAAATTCTTACTGACACAAAAAAATTAGGCATTTTTTCTTAAAATATTTCTTGGCTTTTAGTGAATGATTAGGAGTAAGTTTCAGTAATGAAGCTACCCAATAATCATTTTTAACAATAGACACCAACGTGAAGGTAAGCTAAGCTGTCTATCAACACAAAACATCACAACAACATTACAGGATGACAAACAATAACACCAGTAGTGTAGGCAGGATTTTTGTTGTTTCAGATATATATTTAGAAGCTGTTGAAGAGTTTAACTTTGTTATGTCTAAAAAAAATTCAGGTTAGGAAAAACACTTTTTTTAAACATTTGTTTCTAAGCTTTAACAACATCAATTTTTTGCAAAGTACTTTAATTCTATAAACGTGAATACACTAAAGTTTGGTTGAAAGTGCTATCTAAAGCATCAAAAGACCCTGCCTATGCTACTGAATACACATAGCATCAAATATTTGTACATAACACATTTGCACATAACACAAAATATTCAGATTATGTGTTTCCAGAATAATTAAAAAAGCTAGACAACACAACCTAGCTCAACACTTGTAACACGTTGCCAAGTAACACCACTTTTCACATGGAAACAACTTAATATAAACTTGTATAAACTTAAGCACATAAATATAAATAAAGATATATAAACGCATATAAACACATACATTTATATACACATATAGCAAAAAAAAAAAAAAAACATACAAAATATATAAAACACATATAACACATAATATACTTGTCAAAATTATAAATTAAGAACATTTGTAAAGACAACATTATTTGTGTAATGTTTGTTAAATGACATACCTTGTAATGGATGTTTATCAACTTTGAAAAACAAACTATTAAATGATCTTGTTCTTGAACATGCAACATATAATTGGCCATGTGAAAAGCAAGGCTTTTTGAGATAAACACCAACTTTTTCAAATGTTTGACCTTGACTTTTATTTATGGTCATTGAGTATGCTAACCTAACTGGAAACTGACGACGTTTAAGTGTAAAAGGTAAATTGGCATCTGATGGAGCTAATTGAACTCAAGGAACAAATACCCTGTTACCAGCTGATACACCTGTTAAAACCTCACCATCAATATAATTGTTGTGTAATGCCCCCACCATCAAACGGGTTCCATTACAAAGTCCACCTTTGAGATCAAAATTTCTAAGTAGCATTATAACAGCACCAATTTTTAATTTTAGGCAATGAACAGGCATACCTGATGGAGTTAAACTATTTAAAAACTCGACTGGAAAGTTTTTAATTTCATTAAGATCATCAGTATCAATGCTATCTGAACTTAAATATGTTTTCACATCACCGGGTAAACGATGAAGGACTTCTTCATTTATTGCCAATGAATCAACATTTGTTGGCGTTAAAATAGCACGTTTTGCATAATCAGCTTCTTCTGCACCACCGAAAATCTTCGCCACAATAGATTCATTATCACTGAGAAAGCACTGCTCAGGTATTTCAATACACCCTCGCAAAGGATCTTCAGGCTTGACAGGTAATGTTCCACTTCCAAGCTTTAAAAGCCATTGAGAAAATTCCTCTTCTTCTATCTGAACCCTCATATTTACAGTTAATGAGAACCTTTGCACATATTGCCAATGTTCAGAACATTTTAAACATGATTCTATAACTTCTGCTGGTCGACCTCGCTTCACAACTGGAAGTATTTGTCTGAAGTCTCCACCCATAAGAATAACCTTACCACCAAAAGGAAAGTTGTTATTACAAATATCTTGTAATAGCTTATCAATGGCACTCAAAGCATATTTGGGTATCATAAATGCTTCATCAAGTAAATACAAACTGATTTGTCTCAGGAATCTACCATGAATAGAGTTTGGAGTTACATTACATGTGCTAGTTTCCAAAATTGGAACAGGAAGTTTGAATAAGCCATGCATTGTGCACCCATTTTTGAGAAGAGTTGCAGCTATTCCTGTCCATGCAGCTGTTGCAGTTCTAATATGCCTGCTCTGAGTTTCAGAAATTAAATAATTGTAAGTAAATGTTTTACCACAACCGGCAGGCCCATCCATAAAAAACAACCTTGAATGCTTATTTTCATTAGTAGGTTCCACACTTAGTGCAGCAAGGATCGCATCAGCTACATTACGTTGATTATCATTTAATATCCTCAAATCCGCAAATATCCGCAAATCCTCAAAAGACTTTGCACCTTTTACATGCAAAAGTAACAATCTGAGAAAAAATAATTCGCAAAATGAACTGATTTTATACATTCGAACAACCACCTTATCACTACCTCTTTGTCTTACTTTCCACATGCAATTTTTACCAAAAACAAAGTGATATGGAATTTCAATATAAGAATACTGACGTGCTTCATTATTTTCAGCATTTAACTTAAACCAAGCGGTTAGGTGAGTGTCACGCTGTGCTGCACGATCTATAGCTACTTGTTCTTCTCCTTCGTTAAAATATACTCTGGTTATTACTTTATTTTATTTGAATTACTTGATTTTAATTAAAAACGGCTAAATTAAATCATCGTTTTATTCACACCGTAAATCAAGTACAGCTCCGCCACTTTTAGAACATATGTAACTGCTACTATATATAGTATATATATATGGCTTACTTCGAAAAAATGCAGAAACTTCTTCGTCGCCTAAAGATATACAAAATTATCTTAATGTAATTTCTTAATAAAATAATAAGCTAAATATCTCAGTATTATTGACGTATCATCTCTTTTTATCTCTTTAATTAATTAATGTTATACAAAATTAAAAGAATACCTTCTGTATCCTGGCTGCTCATTTCTAAAAAATAATCTTAATGTTTATTCTTGGGTCAAAAACATATTAACTTCAAACATATTAACATGGTAATTATAAAATAAGTTTAATTTTTTAAATGAAGATTACAATAATTAAACTTGTAGATACAACTTACTTGTCGTCCCTCGCTTTGCAATTGTTATAACCGATATGAAGACCACATGGCCGAGTTTTATTGGTTTTAGAGTACAGTTGGCGCACATATCATAATACAAAAATCAGATGGTTTTCAATCTATTAATTAAGCTGTTTTTATTAACGGATTTGGTGGATTTAATTAGATAACCGCAAGGTAGTTTTACAGTGGTTTAAGAGTTGGCGTACGTTTCGTAATACAAAAATCATTTAATATTTGTTTATATCTTAATATTCGAGCATTTCTATTAGCGGATTAGGCGAAATTTTGTGGGTTTTCTGTTTGTCACCTTTTGGAGTAACTAAGTTTTTTTTTTTAGGTTTCAGATTACAATTATTTTTTTTCATACCTTTCCGTACTTTTTAGGACTCTTGACCAGTTAGTTTTGATAAAAATTTCAGATTGCATGTAAAACCTTTTTTTTATATATATAAGAAAGAAATTTATCTCTTTAATGTGTGTTGAACTCGCAGTTTTAACTAATTACCTAAAACATAAGTATCTCTATCATGATATATGCGCAACAAATTTCCAGCAGCGTTTTTATGTTTTTAAAAATTTTTAAAAAATTCTCTCCGTTTGGTTTCTTACAGTATATTATATCTTTATTTTTATGTAATGCGTATAACATCTATGTGCATTTAAACTTGTTTTTCTTTGTTTTCTAGAAAACTGGATAGGATTTAAAAAAAAAATTGTGTAAACAAAAGGTTTTGAACCGAAGCGAAGCACTTCAATCGCTGTGGAATGCTATATCATCTTTTTACACTATTTAATAAACAGAAAACTTATTAAACTTTAAAAAACAACATTTAATGCTTTAAAATAAAGAGATATTGTCGCAATGTAATTATTAAGTAAAAATAAACCGGTAGAATTTGATGTCATCTACTTTATAATTATACTGATTGATAATTAAGGAACTTAAAGTTTACATATTTAGATATTTGAATAGACTTTCGTTCACATTGATAAAATACAAATCATAACGGATTGTGGTACAGAAAAAAAAAGGTTAATACACTACCATCTATAATTATTGGAAAGGTCATATTTTTTAATATCAAAGATATCAAAGTTTGGCGAAAAAGTGAAAACAATGTCTACCTGAATTATATGTTATCTTCCTATTTATTAGGTTTACCAATAAAACTTCCCTGATTAGTTTATAATTTATTCAAAGCCCTGATTAGCTTTTAATTTATTTGCCTATTAATCAGCCTTAACAACAATAACCGCCATAAATATATTCTTAGCATACTACTTAACGACTTATCTAATTAGTCTATTCTGTCACTAAGTATAAAAAAAAAAAAAAATACCCATGTATTAACTGAATATCAATTTATTTATCTATTTAATTTAATATATATAATATATAATTTAATATATATAATTTAATCTAATTAATATAATTGAAATACTACTAATCAATTTACTGATATTTTTTCTATAGCATTGTTAAAAATGGTCATATTCTGAAAGGTAAAGAAATTTATTGAAAAGAAAGTTGCACAAAAGAAAAAAAAAACTAAATAAAAGTTATTTGTTTCAAAAAACGTTTTACGAAGAGTTTTTCCAAACAATTTTATTTTTAATTGCGTTTTTTTTTGAATAACGTCATAAGCATATTAAGGCGTTTTGAAAAACAGTAGCTGCATATATTTATAGTAAAAAAGTTAATGTAGCAAAATAAACTTTTAATTGTCAAAATAAAGTTTTAAAGTTTTATCTAGCTACAGGCTTTTTTTTTTTTTGCCTCCACAGCAGCATCTTCTGAAGTAGCAGGGCTGTCTTGTTAAGTTTTTTCTTTATTAAGTTTCAGACAACTTTTTTTTCAGACCATCCGCAGCTTATTAAGACTAATTACATGAGCACATTAATAACGTAAGTGTCACAATTATCATAGATACGCAACATATTTTTTCTCCTGGGGTCAATGTTATAAAACTTTTTATCGGCGTAAAATTCTACCGGCGGTATTTTTACTCAGGAATTTTTCCAGCCGTAAATTTAGAGACGTAAAATGTTTTTTCATTCAATGTTATAAAACTTTTACCGGCGTAAAATTTTGAAGATATTAATGCTCTGAATTTATTTTTGGAAATCTACTGTCTGAACCAATAACTTAAAAGGTTGTCAAAAACAAAATGTTTTTGAGTTGAAAACATCAAAGTTAACAAAAATTAACAGTTTCTTATGGATTCGGACTGTTCTGATTCTGATGAAGAATATTTTGTTGCTTTAGAATATTTGGCAAATCAGAGACAACCACGAGAAGTAAAAATGTTCAAACACTATTTAAACTGATAAGAATACAATTTAAAAGTAAAAAAATGGATTTGTCTTTAGTTTTTTACCCTACCCTATAACAAAATTTGTATAGCTTTTCTATAAAAATAACTTATACTATTTTTTATATAGAGGTTTCTTTAGACCAGAGTTGTTAATTGGCCTTGACCTTGCCTAAAGACCAAAAACTGAGGCCTTGGCCTTGAAACTTTTTGAAGTTTTTGGCCTTGACCTTGTTTGCTTTTTTTTAAAAGTTTTTATTCTTTTTTTTACGTAATTAATTAGGTAATTAATTAATCTTTATTTTGTAAAATTGTGTTGATATAAATATAAAAAATCTATACGCATTTTATATTATACAATCTATACACATAGAAATACATATTATACAATCTATACACATAGAAAATCTATACACAGAAAAAATTGCATTAATAAAATTTTTTAAAAAACAACTTTAAATATCAAAATAATTAAAAGAATTACTCACTAACTGAAATTCTTATAACAAAAATTTATTTAGACACAAATAAACATTTAAACATAAAACTCTTTTGATGCTTTCTGATTAGAATTTTATCCACAATAAGTTTTGACGTGCTTCCATACCATAAACAATATGAGAAACTTTGGAAACAAGTTGTACATAATGTCTAAACACTTTCTGAATGAGAAGAAAAATCTTTGATGTATTTTGTTATTTGACTTTATCAAAAATATTTGAGCCGACATCGTAGTGGTTCAATTAATTTTTAAATATCAAGTATACATTTTCATGAGCTCATACCATATTCGAGCATCAAAGGTAATTTCTAGAACTTTAATAATTCTGTTTATAGTTTGACCACTTATTTTACTATTTCGAATTTCAAATAACCTCAGCATAAATTTTAAATAGAGAAATTTCTTTTGCCTGTCCATTTTGAATATGTCCAATACTAAAGTTGATTTGATTTTTGGATCAATAAATAGTCCTAATAAATCTAGCATAAGTGCATTTTTCTAATTAGCTCAATAACAAACTTTGGAAAAACTTTAAATTCCTTTTTAAACACTTTAAATTCCTGATAGCTTTTTTTCAGGTTCCAATGTCTAAAAGAAAATTTGTAAAGTTAATCTAAAAAGTTAAATTTGTTTATTAACTTTCATTCATGAAAACTTATATACATATATATGTATATATATATATATATATATATATATATATATATATATATATATATATATATACATATATATATATATATATATGTATATATATATATATATATATATATATATGTATATATATATATATATATATATATATATATATATATATATATACATATATATATATATATATATATATATATTATATATATATATATATATATATATATATATATATATATATACAGGGTGTTACCCAGGAAAAAATTTCATACAGCGTGTGGCTAAAAAAAAAAAAAAAAAAAAGGTCCTTACATTCTGCAATTAAATTTTAGTCAAAATAAATTTTCTACTTTTGCTGGGAGTTACATTTACAGCAGGAATTTTTTTCTACTGTATATATGTTTAATTTTAATAAATCAACTTGTTTCATTATGAGCAATCAAAGATAAAAATTAGATAAGTGTTTTTACTAATTTATTATTGCTCTGTTTTTTAAGAACGTTGAGCACTCTCTCTCTCTCTCTCTCTCTCTCTCTCTCTCTCTCTCTCTCTCTCTCTTATATATATATATATATATATATATATATATATATATATATATATATATGTATATATATATATATATATATATATATATATATATATATATATATATATATATATATATATATATATATATAATATATATATATATATATATATATATATATATATATATGTATATATATATATATATATATATATATATATATATATATATATATACTATATATATATATATATATATATATATATATATATATATATATATATATATACATAAATGAATAAAATTGCTTTTGCCTTATTTTTTTTCATTAAATTTCAAATTTTCAGTGATAAAAATAAATCAAATCAAATATATTCTGAATAAAGTCAATACATCAAGGTTATTTACAAATAGTAACCTGTAAAATTTAATACTAATTTTATTGAAGTAATATTAATAATAATTATAATGCAATTAGGAGTAAATAAAAATAATAGTTATAATAACAGCAATAAAAAGTAATAGTAAAGGTTATAAAAAGTATACACTATACTATTTTAATAATAATAACAAAAAGAACAGTAAAAATAACAACAACAATAATAATAACAACAACAGTAATATAACAAAAACAGTAATATAAAAGAAAATTATTGCAATAATAATAACAGTAAGAACCATAACATTTTTAATGATAAAAATATAGTAATAATAATACCCAGTAAGCACAAGACGCATTTAAGACACTTATAGATGTCTAAAACTAGTCTAGGTAAAGACGCACTTTTATAGACGTTTTAAAGACATCTTCTAGACGTCTTTTATAAAGGCGTTTTTAAAATGACGTTTAAAAGGCGTCTATTTAAGC